TCGGAATTACTGAAACTGAACGAACTTTGTCCACACTGTGTAACCAAATGCTGACTACTGGAAGTACTCACGTAACGCGGAATGCTTATCGTCGTAAAAATATCGGCTACTAGTGTGTTACAACAAATCTGATAATTATACAGCGTGTTGAGAAACGCGAGTTTTGCAACCAACAGATAAAATACCAAAGCTGTTTCAAAACGATTTTTTTATTGTTAAAAAAATCAAAAGTGTACTTTTTAAGTACTTTTAAAGCGCGTATTTTGAGTCTCCGTCGTTGCTCAAGATTCGAGCAAAAAGAACCAGTGAAAGTTGGATTAATTTATTGATTCTGCGATTGTTTATTTTTCGTCGGTTTTTGTTTCTTTGTGCTTTATTTCCTTCTTTTGGCTTCTTCGGTTCGATCAAGCGATGCAGGGCGCGAAAGTGACACGCTGCACGCACCCGCAACACCAGAAAAACCAGCTCACTTTTTTGATAAATTATAAAACTTGATTTTGAGATGGCGCCAGTTTTTCAATACTTTTTCAATTTCTGGATTTTTTAGTTTTTGAAATTTTAATTTTTCGAGTTTTAAAATTAAAGTACTCAATTTCACAATTCTTGATTTAATCAATAAAATAAATTGACTGATTCTTTAATTTTTTTAGTTACTCTGTATAATCAAATCCAAAAATATGAATGCAATGATAAATTACAAGTGTAAACTCATATTTTGGACATTTTTGAAAGGATTTTTAGGGTTGATAAACAAATACATTAAATTTTTTTGAGACACCCTGTATAAGCAAATCAAAAAAGTATTAACGTAGTCATAAATTAGAAGTACAGACTTATGATATTTTGCACATTTAAAACAGGATTTGTTCAGCAATATTTTGAGGTAACGTCATCAATTTGTTTGGGGGATAAGCAAATACATTTTGATCAAAAATTTACCATGCTTATGATCACCTTAAAACATCTCCAAGATTTCAAAGCATTCGGTTTTGCAGTTCCTGATTAAATCAATAAATAAATTTACGCATTAAGTTTTTTTCGCCCTGTATAAGTAAATCCAAAAAAATAAATCGAAATTTGTTTTCACAGAACTTCCCTCAAACCTGAAATACAATGAGTTGATTTTACTTTACACAATAAGACTCATTTTGGTTAATGACTGAACAATATTAAGAGTAATCACTGGAAAGAAGAAGGGGTGGGTGGGCGGGGCTATCGCTTGCTTATAAAAGACTCCCTTGGAAAAACTTAAATTTAGCCCCGCCCACCCACCCGTTCTCTAATTTTTTTATTCAGAAATAAGAAATAAATGTTATAACAAAGAAGTAGTATAACAAAATAAATTATACTGATTTTGATAAATGACTGAACAATATCAAGGGTAATCACTGGAATGAAGATAGGGTGGGTGGGCGGGGCTATTGTTTGCTTATGAATGATTTTGAAGGAAAAGATAAATTTAGCCCCGCCCACCCACCCGCTCTCTCATTTTTTTCTTCAGAAATAACAAATAAATATTATAGCAAATAAGTAGTATAACAAGATAAATAATACTGATTTTGTCATATAAATGACTGAACAATATTAAGAGTAATCACTGGAATGAACAGAGGGTGGGTGGGCGGGGCTATCACTTGCTTATAAGAGACTCTATTGGAAAAACTTAAATTTAGCCCCGCCCACCCACCCGTTCTCTAATTTTTTATTCAGAAATAAGAAATAAATGTTATAGCAAATAAGTAATATAAAAAAAATACATAATACTCATTTTGATAAATGACTGAACAATATTAAGAGCAATCACTGGAAAGAAGAAGGGGTGGGTGGGCGGGGCTATCGCTTGCTTATAAAAGACTCCCTTGGAAATACTTAAATTTAGCCCCGCCCACCCACCCGTTCTCTTTTTTTTCAGAAATAAGAAAAAAATGTTATAGCAAATAAGTGGTATAAAAAAATAAATAATACTGATTTTGGTAAATGACTGAACAATATCAAGAGTAATCAGTGGAATGAAGAGAGGGTGGGTGGGCGGTGCTATTGTTTGCCTATAAAAGATTCTGTTCGAAAATGTTAAATTTAGCCCCGCCCACCCACCGTTTCTCTTTTTTTTTCAAGAATAAGAAAAAAATGTTATATCAAATTAGTAGTATAACAAAATAAATAAGATTGATTTCGGTAAATAACTGAACAATATTAAGAGTAATCACTGGAATGAAGAGAGGGTGGGTGGGCGGGGCGATTGTTTGCCTATAAAAGATTCTGTTGGAAAATGTTAAATTTAGCCCCGCCCACCCACCCGCTCTCTAATTTTTTTCTTCAGAAATAAGAAATAAAATGTTATATCAAATTAGTAATATAACAAAATAAATAAGACTGATTTCGGTAAATAACTGAACAATATTAAGAGTAATCATTGGAATGAAGAGAGGGTGGGTGGGCGGGGCTATTATTTGCCTATAAAAGATTCTGTAGGAAAATGTTAAATTTAGTCCCGCCCGCCCACCCGTTCTCTTTTTTTTTCAGAAATAAAAAAAAAAGTTACATCAAATTAGTAGTATAACAAAATAAGTAAGACTGATTTCGGTAAATAACTGAACAATATTAAGAATGAAGAGAGGGTGGGTGGGCGGGGCGATTGTTGGTTTATAAAAGGTTCTTTTGGAAAATGTTAAATTTAGCCCCGCCCACCCACCCGTTATCTCTTTTTTTCAGAAATAAGACAAAAATATTATAGTACATAAGTAATATAACAAAATAAATAAGACTAATATTGGTAAACGTCTGAACAATATCAAGAGTAATCACTGGAATGAAGAAGGGGTGAGTGGGCGTGGCTATCGCTTTCTTATAACAGACTCTGCTGGAAAAAGTGAAATTTAGCCCCGCCCACCCACCCGTTCTCTCATTTTTTTCTTCAGAAATAAGAAATAAATGTTATAAAAAAAAAATAGTATAACAAAATAAATAAGACCGAGTTTGGTAAATGACTGAACAATATTAAGAGTAATCACTGAAATGAAGAGAGGGTGGGTGGGCGGGGTTATCGCTTGCTTATAAAAGATTCTATTTGGAAAAGTTAAATTTAGCCCCGCCCACCCACCCGTTCTCTCATTTTTTTCTTCAGAAATAAGAAATAAATGTTATAGCAAAAAGTAATACATATAACAAAATAAGTAAGACTGATTTTGATAAATGACTAAACAATATTAAGAGTAATTACTGAAATGAAGAGGGGGTGGGTGGGCGGGGCTATCGCTTACTTATAAAAGATTTTGTTGGAAAAGTTAAATTTAGCCCCGCCCACCCACCCGTTCTCTAATTTTTTCTTCAGAAATAAGAAATGAAATGTTATAGCAAATAAGTAGTATAACAAAATAAATAATACTGATTTTGGTAAATGACTGAACAATATTAAGAGTAATCAGTGGAATGGAGAGAGGGTGGGTGGGCGGGGCTATTGTTTGCTTATGAATGATTCTGTTGGAAAAGATAAATTTAGCCCCGCCCACCCACCCGTTCTCTCATTTTTTTCTTCAGAAATAAGAAATAAATGTTTTAGCAAAAAGTAGTATAACATAATAAATAAGACTGATTTTGGTAAATAACTGAACAATATTAAGAGCAATTACTGGAATGAAGAGAGGGTGGGTGGGCGGGGCTATTGTTTGTTTATAAAAGATTCTGAAGGTAAAAGTTAAATTTACCTACCCGTTCCCTCATGTATTTCTTCAAAAATAAGTATTATACCAAAAAAAAATACAATTAACGCTTTTTTTTAACATCCTACGTTCTATTAGTTCCCATTCTCACTTTATAAGAGAAGATATAATTTACCCCGCCCACCCACCCCGTCTCCATTTCAGTGATTAATTTTTTCTAGTAAAAAAAGGTGGATCTCAATTGAAGACAGATAAAATCGTTAGAATGAGAACAGCATTGGTAAATGACATATCATATAAGAAAATAAAGGGTGGGTGGGTGGGTCAAAAATTTGATAATATACGACTGAACAATATTAAGAGTAGTCACTGGAACGAAGAAGGGGTGGTTGGGCGGGGCTACTGCTTGCTCATAAAAATAGAAAAAGCTAAATTTAGCCCTGCCCACATCGTTTCTCCATTTCGCTGACTTATTTTATTTAGTGTAAAATGGAAGTTAAACAATAACAGTGTTGTATTTTGAGCCACCTGTATGAGCAAATGTAACAGATATAAATCCAATGATAAATCACAAGTAAATACAAAATTTGACATCAATAGGCCCACTACTTTCGGAAATTATCTGTCTAATAAAGATTCGGGACGGCAGACAGATGGACAGACACACAGAAAAATTTTGATAAAAGTGCAGACACAAAAATTCTAAAAAGCCATTTTCTCGACTTTTCATGACCCCTAGTTATTCGAAATGAAAAAATCTCTTCGGACAAGTAGTTCGGTCGAGTACACATCACACCCTATCAAAATATTTGTACCGCCTCTAAGTTATTTATCGATCACATTAGCTTTAATAACCGATCACCTACCACCGCCAGCCGGTCATGGTCACCGCATATCAAGGCCAAAAACAAAACTTTGTGACTACACTACAAATCAATTCAATTATTTCGTCTTGGCATCATGCGAGCAAACTCGAACCCGATCCCGTATGTCGGTCCATTTACCATACGCGAGAACAGTTATCAAAACATAAAAATCACAGTTCCACCTCCATGAATCAATAATATAGGTAATTTCTGTCAAAACGAGCGTCCACCACGAAAACAAACTACAGTTCATCGACAACACTTCCGGAAGCGAGTAGCACTTCAATTAAACCTCTTAATGGAGCATTAATTGGAGCACTTCACCTGTCGTAAATAAAAACGTGCGAAAAACGTCACTGTTAGCTCAATCACTTAGTGATAATTTAAAATAAACAAGGTGTTGGGGTTAGCACTGGGTCCGTTGCTGTTTTCGTTGTTCGTTAATGAGCTACCGCGATTAATTAGCGCGCCTCACCTCTTTCTTGTCGCGACTTGGCGACGACCTGGTGATGGAAATCCTCGTGGTGGCTCTCCCTGGCACATTCCTCTGGAGTTTCTCCACGTTATACGTCTGCCTCCATCCGAACAACTGCACGATTTTTTCGGCGACTTCCGTACACTTGGGTACGGCATTTATCGTCTGACAACTATCGAACATTTCACACTGAAACCATTTTCCGCACACTAGTACCGCGCTTCAAAGAAAAGTCAACGTTAGGGTTAATGTGCACGCTATTTCCGCAAAAACGAAGAAAGTTAGCGACCTCGAAACCGCGATGGGAAAAGGACCGGTTGCTTGCTTGCACTTGCAATATGGATAAATTTATGCGAAATAACTGGAAATGTGCATTCACTGGCGTGTGTGATGGTATTTCAAGGGCACTGTTGGCTGCGATATCTCGAGATTTAGCACCCAGAACTAGTCTAGTGCTCGGCAACGTCGCCTGGGTCACATATTCTTTACAAGTTTAGCAAACATGTGACGATTAATAAACCACAAGCGTTGCATAATCATAATCGGTTCGATGTGCAGCGAGTCTTAATGAATTTCCTGTTTATTTATTATTAACGATTTCTTAACAGTATGGAGCCGTTTCCGTTGTCTTCGCCATATCTATCGCTTAACAATACGCAGCGAGCACGCCACTTTATTGTTAAGCCGCAACATTAGAATAAAGGAGCACGAAAGGATGAGGAATTCGTACGAAAATCAAAATTCACCGGAATAACGGCCTCTGCATCACCGTTAGAAAGCTCGAACAAAAACCAGGAGGTTAATGAAAATTCGTATGAACAGAGCTCCTCAGGGCTCCGTTCCGCCGCCCGCATTTTTTCCCTTTTTCCTCAGCGACTCACAACACTCAAACACAAAAAACACCCAGGAAGTGCATTGCGAAATGATCGATAACTTGTAATCGCTCGTACCTGTCGTGGCACGTATCTTTAGCGCTCTTTATCTTTCTCTCGATTTTTTAGCCCCATTTTCCGTTTGTGGAGCGTAATGATAATTCTCTTGACCGGATATATGCCCTCGTGCTTTCATCGCTGCGGAAAAAGCGGTTGACATTTCACGCTCATAACATGAGAATCTTTAGAATTTCAGCCGATAATGGCACGGAGAACGAAAAACGCCCACGAATGGTTCCGTCGCTAATTGCAGCAATCGCGAAACAATGGCCGGTTGCAGAAGTCCTCGATGACGAAATGTTGCGGGGATTGTGAGCGACGCTGAAATGGTGGAGTTGAGATGTGGAAAATGGTTTTTGTGCTTTTGTAAACGGACGGTTTGACCTTTGAGATTGCAATTATTTGGGTAATTTTGTTGTTGACGCAACGGATTCCTTAATCCGTCATCGGAATTAATGAGGAGTGTAATTGAGTACGGAACTGATAAATACTGACATTTTCCTGCGAATCAGGTAAAAAGTCGCGGTTTAAATGACGGAAAAGTTTGGTTTACTACTGATGTTGGACGCCCAAATTTACCGAAATTATTTGACTGAACAAACTGTGTTTAATTTTAATGCAATCAAATATTAGTAATTTATCCTATAATCTAAATTTATTATACTTTTTATACCCCTGACGTGACTTTTGGACCTGAAAATTGTCATTTATTTATAAACTCCGTTGCCAAGTTGCCGTTGTTAGTAACTTTTACCATTTTAGACATGTTTTAAGTTTCTTGTTGTCGAAATAAGTCTAGAAATACTAAGATGAAAAGCCAAAATGTAGACCCGCCCACCCACCCTATCGCAATTGTGATGAATTTTTTATTCGTCGTGAGCCAAGAGGGCGGAGCTTAACTGCAAAATCCTAATTTCTCTACGAGAAATTAAAAACATGTTTTTGAGTATCGCGTTGTTCAAAGAATACTATGTATATCAAGAAAAAATAAAGCCAAAGATTACGCCCCACTCATACCCGCCCCGATCTCAATTCTCAATTGTGATGAATTTTTCATTCGTTGTCAGATCGAGAGGCGGGGCTTAATTGCAAGATGCATATTTGTCTAGAACAATTAACCATTCTAAACATTTCTTCAGAAATAAGAAATAAATTTTATAGCAAATAAGTAGTTTAACAAAATAAATAAGACTGATTTTGATAAATGACTAAACAATATTAAGAATAATCACTGGAATGGGGAGAGGGTGGGTGGGCGGGGCTGTTGTTTGCTTATGAATGATTCTGTAGGAAAAGATAAATTTAGCCCCGCCCACCCACCCGTTCTCTATTTTTTTCTTCAGAAACAAGAAATAAAATGTTATAACAAATAAGTAGTACAACAAAATAAATAAGACTGATTTTGATAAATGACTGAACAATATTAATAGTGGTCACTGGAATGACGAGGGGGTGGGTGGGCGGGGCTATTGTTTGCTTATAAAAGATTCTGTAGGAAAAAGTTCAATTTAGCTCCGCCCACTTACAGTGGAATAACAAAAAAATTACGATTAACGCTTTTTTTAAAAGCCAATAGTTCCAATTCTCACCTCATAAAAGAATATATAATTTAGCCCCGCCCACCCACCCTATCTGAATTGTGATGAATTTTTTATTCGTTGTCAGATGGAGAGGCGGGGCCTAATTGCAAGATCCATACTTGTCTAGAAGAATTAGCCACTTTAAACATGTTCTAAGTTTCTAGTTCTCAAAGACGACTACGTATATTACGAAAATGGCAAAATATTCGCCCCGCCCACCCACCCTATCTCAATTGTGGTGATTTTTTTGATTGACTGAAATTGAAATTACCATGTAACACATATTTTGGAGTGTCGTATTAGAATACCAAGGGCCGGTTTATAGAACAGCGAGTTAAATATTTAATCCTCGATTAGTTTAACAGAGAATTAAAATGTGGAATATGAGCCCGTGATTGGTTAAAATATACGCGTTGCCTCGCAACGGACCTCAGTTAAAAGTTAATCTCGAATTAACTTTAACTTCGCTTTCTATAAATCGGGTCCAAGTAGATTAAGAAAAAATTAAAGCCAAAGATTAAGTTCCACCCATACCTGCCCTGATCTAAATAGTAACGAAGATTTCATTCGTTGGCAGACCTAGGGACGGAGCCTGATTGCAAAATCCATACGTCCTTGCAAGAATTTACCATTTTAAACGTGTTTTGAGATTCTAAGTATTTAAGAGTCATTACAATTGAGATGGGGTGGGTGGGCGGGGTTAATATTTTGCCTTGTTTTCTTAATATATGTAGTATTCTTTGAACAACACGATACTCAAAAAAAATTTTAATTTCTTGTGAAGAAATAAGTATTTTGCAGTTAAGCTCCGCCCCCTTGGTTCACAGCGAATAAAAAAAATCATCACAATTGAGATAGGGCGGGTGGGCGGGCGGGGTTTATATTTAGCCTTCTTTTCTTAATATATATATAGTATTCTTTGAACAGCACGATGCTCAAAATCATTTTTTATTTTCTTGGCAGAAATAAGTATTTTGCAGTTAAGCTCCGCCCCCTTGGTTCGCGGCGAATAAAAAAAAATCATCACAATTGAGACAGGGGGTAGGCGGGCTTACTTAGACATATTCATGATCAAAACCCCAGGGATTCCTGAGACTCTTTCAATCTTATTCAAGATCAAAACATCAGGGATTCCTGAGACTCTTTCAATGCTATTCAAGATCAAAACATCAGGGATTCCTGAGATTCTTTCAATCTCATTCAAGATCAAAACATCAGGGATTCCTGAGATTCTTTCAATCTTGTTCAAGATCAAAACATCAGGGATTTCTGAGATTCTTTCAAACTTATCCATGATCCAAAACACCAGGGATTCTTGAGATTCTTTCAAATTCACTCTAAATCCAAAATACCAGGAATTCTTTAGATTCTTTCAAACTTATTCAAGATTAAAACTCCATGGATTCCTGAGATTCTTTCAAACTTATTCAAGATCGAAACAATAGGCTTTTCTGAGATAATTTCAAACTTTGTCAAAATTAAAACATCATAGTAAGGAGATTCTTTCAACTTATTCAAGATTAAAAAAGCAAAGATTCTTAATATTCTTTCAAACTTGTTCAAGATCAAAACACCAGGAATTCCTGAGATTCTTTCAAACATATCCATGATCCAAAACACAAGGGATTCCTGACATTCTTTCAAATTCATTCAATATCCAAAATACCAAGAATTCTTTCAATCTTAATCAAGATCAAAACATTAGGGATTTCTGTAATATTTTCAGACTTATTCAAATTCAAAACCCCAGGGATTCCTGAGATTCTTTCAAACTTATCCATGATCCAAAACACCAGGAATTTCTGAGATTCTTTCAAACTTACTCAAGATCCAAAACATCAGGAATTCATGAGGTTCTTTCAAACTTATTCAAGATCAAAACTCCAGGGATTTCAGAGATTCTTTCAAACTTATTCAAGATCAAACATCAGGGATTCCTGGGATTCTTTCAGACCTTTTCAAGATCAAAACCCCAGGGATTCCTGAGATTCTTTCAGACTTATATCCCTGATCGAAAACACCAGGGATTTCTGAGATTCTTTCAAACTCTTTCAAGATCCAAACTGCCAGGGATTCTTTAGATTCTTTCAGACTTACTCAAGATCCAAAACATCAGGAATTCCTGAGATTCTTTCAAACATATCCATGATCCAAAACACAAGGGATTCCTGACATTCTTTCAAATTCATTCAATATCCAAAATACCAAGAATTCTTTCAATCTTAATCAAGATCAAAACATTAGGGATTTCTGTAATATTTTCAGACTTATTCAAATTCAAAACCCCAGGGATTCCTGAGATTCTTTCAAACTTATCCATGATCCAAAACACCAGGAATTCCTGAGATTCTTTCAAACTTACTCAAGATCCAAAACATCAGGAATTCATGAGGTTCTTTCAAACTTATTCAAGATCAAAACTCCAGGGATTTCAGAGATTCTTTCAAACTTATTCAAGATCAAACATCAGGGATTCCTGGGATTCTTTCAGACCTTTTCAAGATCAAAACCCCAGGGATTCCTGAGATTCTTTCAGACTTATATCCCTGATCGAAAACACCAGGGATTTCTGAGATTCTTTCAAACTCTTTCAAGATCCAAACTGCCAGGGATTCTTTAGATTCTTTCAGACTTACTCAAGATCCAAAACATCAGGAATTCCTGAGATTCTTTCAAACATATCCATGATCCAAAACACAAGGGATTCCTGACATTCTTTCAAATTCATTCAATATCCAAAATACCAAGAATTCTTTCAATCTTAATCAAGATCAAAACATTAGGGATTTCTGTAATATTTTCAGACTTATTCAAATTCAAAACCCCAGGGATTCCTGAGATTCTTTCAAACTTATCCATGATCCAAAACACCAGGAATTCCTGAGATTCTTTCAAACTTACTCAAGATCCAAAACATCAGGAATTCATGAGGTTCTTTCAAACTTATTCAAGATCAAAACTCCAGGGATTTCAGAGATTCTTTCAAACTTATTCAAGATCAAACATCAGGGATTCCTGGGATTCTTTCAGACCTTTTCAAGATCAAAACCCCAGGGATTCCTGAGATTCTTTCAGACTTATATCCCTGATCGAAAACACCAGGGATTTCTGAGATTCTTTCAAACTCTTTCAAGATCCAAACTGCCAGGGATTCTTTAGATTCTTTCAGACTTACTCAAGATCCAAAACATCAGGAATTCCTGAGATTCTTTCAAACATATCCATGATCCAAAACACAAGGGATTCCTGACATTCTTTCAAATTCATTCAATATCCAAAATACCAAGAATTCTTTCAATCTTAATCAAGATCAAAACATTAGGGATTTCTGTAATATTTTCAGACTTATTCAAATTCAAAACCCCAGGGATTCCTGAGATTCTTTCAAACTTATCCATGATCCAAAACACCAGGAATTCCTGAGATTCTTTCAAACTTACTCAAGATCCAAAACATCAGGAATTCATGAGGTTCTTTCAAACTTATTCAAGATCAAAACTCCAGGGATTTCAGAGATTCTTTCAAGCTCATTCAAGATCAAAACATCAGGGATTTGTGGGATTCTTTCAGACTTATTCAAGATCAAAACCCCAGGGATTCCTGAGATCTTTCAGATTTATCCCTGATCCAAAACACCAGGGATTTCTGAGATTCTTTCTAACTCATTCAAGATTCAAAATACCAGAGATTCTTTAGATTCTTTCAGACTTACTCAAGATTCAAAACATCAGGAATTCCTGAGATTCTTTCAGACATATTCAAGATCAAAACACTAGAGATTACTAAGATTCTTTCAAACTTATCCATTATCTAAAACGCCAGGGATTCCTGAGATCCTTTCAAACTGATTCAAGATCAAAACATCAGGGCTTCCTGAGATCTTATTTTATCTTAAAATCATCCCATTTGAGATGGGGCGGGTGGGCGGGCTTACATTTTGCCCTTTTGTTTTAATATATGTAAACTTCTTTTCACAACATGAAACTTAAAACAGGTTTACATCAATTTGCGTCATTGCAAAATCTATATTTTCTTGCAAAAATTTACCATTTTAACCATGTTCTAAATTTTTTGTGATGAAAAGATGGCAATGTATATTAAGAAAAAAAGGCAAAATATAAGCCCCACCCACCCACCCTGTCTCAATTCTGATGATTTTTTTATTTTTATTACCATGTGAAATATGTTTCAAAGTAATCGTGGTATACAAAGGAAACTAAATGTATTGATTAAAAAAGAAAACCAAAATAGAAGCCCCGCCCATCCGTCTCGACCTCAACCGTGATTTCCCTACACAAATTTACCATTTTAAACATGTTTTTAAGTTTCTTGTTGTGAAAAGATGACTACACATATTAAGAAAAAAAAAAGGCAGAATATAAGCCCCGCCCACCCACCCTATCTCAATTGTGATGATTTTTTTATTCATCGTGAGCCAAGAGGGCGGAACTTAACTGCAAAATTCTTATTTCCCTACGAGAAATAAAAAAACAAGCCAAAAATTAAGCCCCACCCATATCCAACCCCAACTCAATTGGTCATCTCGAACGTCACCCCACCGAAAAGGATAAAAAGTAAGTAAATATAGCCATGTAACAAATGAAAATAATTTGAAGCCAAAACATTAATAGTACATTTTTTCTAGACAGATTATTGCATCATTTTGACGAAGCGATAAAATATTTATACTTTTCTGGGCGACTCCTCTCTATAAAAACACGACAAGGTAAAATCACTTCCAATTAGTACAATTAGTTACTGTGAAAGTGCTATCGAGGATTTAATTCAATCACGAGAATTTAATTTCCTGTTTTGGTTTTATTACTTAATATCTGAAACTTTTAATTAAACGTATCCAGTTCAATCGAAAAAAAATCCAAATCATTAGAAATTAAAATAAAATCAAATAAAAAGGGATTTCGTCGGTATCACAAAAATCTCCGAGTATGTTTTATCGTTTAACGTGCGCACGTTTGAATTTTACGCGTGAGAACATCGCGTGAAGTTTCAGGATTGGTGTGAAGGATTTAGGAAGCCATTTTGACGCGACTTGCTAACGCACGCGAAATGTAGGATACTTGTGTATGTGCATTTAACTGCGACCTTGCAGACACTAAAAAATCAGAAAAGGTTTTGTAACGCTTCCAAAAGATCGGATTTACGCCAGTTCCGTGCCCAAAACTCGATTCTATCCTTTTTTGAGGCCACCCGGTTTTCACTGTTATTATCGTACGGGGTAGAATGCGACTACAATCAGTGTTTATAGTGATAAAAATTACGAGCAAAAAATCGCCACACAATTTCGCAACGATTTTGATCCGGCGATAAAATTGCAGCAATTTTTCGAATAAAGCAATCTTGGGAATCTTGACACAGCTACTTTTTAGTATCACAAATTCTTACATTGTTCTCGACGATTTCTCTCCGTAAAAAGAACGACAGAGCTAAAATTGCCTCCATTTAGCACAATTAGTCGCTCTGAAAATACTGTAACAGATTTAATCCGATCGTGAGTTTTAATGAGATTAGATCAATTTTATTGCGGTATTTATTTACATAGTGATTCACTTCAGCAAATTGATAATCAGCACAAACAGGCCACCAGATAAATGAAAGTGGATTTTTTGGCGAAGGAACAAAGACTAAATAAATAGAAGCGTTTTCGCTTCCTCATTTTACTGGTGTCGTGCCCAGGGCCTTCAAAAAATTCTACTCTCCATGATTAATAGGTCGTTTAATAACAGCAAACATAATTATCGATTCAGACTGTTAATAACGCAGAAACGAGTTTAAGAAAACTACATGTGTTATTAAAAAAATAACTCAAGTGGTTTAACTGTAAACCAAAACAGCCAAAACGAGTCAAAAACTCTTCACAGTTAAAATGTGCAAATTCCGATTTGAAATTCATAAAACTCAGCCGCACAAAACCGATTCATAGAACAGTCGGTTGTTGCAAAACCCCGAGATAATCTCGAACGAATTCCGCGCACATTAACCCTTCTAAACGACGTTAACGTCACGTTAATGCCTCTCGCCCGTGGACAAGAGCAATTTTGCAAAATACCACATTGGCATTTATTTACCAGTTTCCACTTTCTATCCTCTACATTATTACTCGAAAGCAAAACACTGTCGATGCACAATTACAATGGTGGTTGTGTTGTAACGCACTGTATTTATGTACCGATTAAAAAGTAGTTTGTGCAGTTGGCGACGTACACACCTCGAGCGACGTTTCGAACTCACTACCTGGCAGCGCTCTCGACGGAACGCTCGCTCCATGGTGGGGTCCTCCACTATCACGAATTTCCCTTTCCAGACACCCGAAACTTACCTGCCGTAATTGCGACACGAATTTTTACACACTAGTTGTAATAACACCAACGAGAACAATTATTCGAATAAACGTCCTTCGAGAATGTTTGAAAAGTGCAATCACTAACTGCACCAACAATGCCAAATATAACTTTATTACTCTGGCAGTAGAGATAAAAAAACGATAACGGATTTAATGCAAGCCACAGAAATGAAAAAATCGTCGCTGGTGCTGTATAATTTTCCTATTTAAATAACAAACGGCAAAGAAAAAGCAAAACCGCTACGACAACAATACTCCAAGGAGTGGTAAAGACGATTACCCGACACTTTGAAATGTTTTAAGCGACGTCTGTAATAAGAAATCTGCAATTATGCTACACGACTTCGCATATTGTATGCAGAGCAGTGTGGGCTTAGTCGCGACAAATCACATCACAGATTGAAACCATCTCTGAAAGAATCGATTTTATCCTATTGTGACGATGCATCGTTCAATTTGGAAATTTTTCTGCACCCAGTCAAAGTTAGTTGGAAAACTTGAGTAATTTTATTGCAGAGGTTCTTTGTTTGATTTCTTGGTTAAACATTTACGATAGGATTGCACGTTCTTTCGTAATTTGTGGTAGGTGGGCATACGTGGGTTCTTATCTTGTTTGGCTAACACTGACGTCCTTCGTGCTGATAAGGATCTTTGCTGGAGAAGATGCGAAAATATTTTTTTGTTCGTTATTAAACATTGTTGCGTATCTCATTTTTATGGTGTTATTAAGTACGTAACAACGTACAATTTCACAAGGTATAAAGTGTTCTTAATTCTTTTTAAATAAAGTAAAGAATCTAATTCATGTGTTAAACAAACCATGAATGAGAGCAGAAAGTTTGAGTGTGGTTTTAAGCTACAATAAAATAGGTGTCCACATTTGGTGTATTATTGGTTGCATACTCACTTTTTCAATATGTACGTACGACTCCTGGAAAAATTTACTCATTTAAGTTAAATTAAAGATATGTCTATTTTTCATAATGAAAACAACTCTAGCAGGTGCGGCACCCAAAATTTTAAATATGTTGACAACCTGACAAAAAAAAAACAAATCTTAATTGTCAGTCAAACAATTATGATTTTTTTACAACAATCTACAGCTCTATTTTACAAAATCTAAGCAGAATAGACTTATTTTTTGAGATAGCGTTATGAGGGATTAACAGATTTTGGTTAGCGTTTTACCACTTACACGATATTCTTAAACTATATTAATTTTTTTTTAATCAGTTTATTATTTTTGGGGAACAGCAGTCTACAAAAATTAATAACAGAAAAAACGGGATCAGTGTCCAAGAAAAAGCTAGATTAAATTTTAATTTGCACATGTCGGATCTTCAAGTATCATAACCACGATTTCAGATTTGTGATTTCCAAAATATTCTTTTCTTTCAAATAGATCCACTTTTAATAATTCAAAAAAAAAAAAAAAATTGGAAATTTCTTTTTTACTTTTCCCGATAGTTTCAACAGAAGATTCACACACGATTTCAGTTAAGTAATATGTGAAAAATTCTCTATGCACTGCTTTTCACCGGCAGAATAGAGCCACATTTACCATTTTCAACATGTCTTAGGCTTCTAAGAATAAAAAAAAATCATCACAATTGAGAAGGGGTGGGTGGGCGGGGTTTATATTTTGCTTTTTCTCTTAATGTCATAGTATTTTTAGAACACGATACTCAAAAACATATTTTTAATTTTTTGTAAAAAAATAAGTATTTTGCACTGAATCTCCGCCCCTTGGCTCACGACGAATAAAAAAAATCATCAGAATTGAGACAGGGCGGGTGGGCAGGGCTTATGTTTTGCCTTTTTTTCTTAATACACATAGCCATCTTTTCACAACAAAAAACTTAGGACATGGTTAAAATGGTATATTTTTACAAGGAAGTATGGATTTTGCAATTATTGGGCGGAGCCTAATTGCAAAATCCGTGTTTCCATAAACAAATTTTCTACTTTAAGTTTCATGTCGCGAAAAGAAGTCTACACAATCATATTAAAATAAAAAGGCAAAATGTAAGCCCGCCCACCCGCCCTATCTCAATTGTGATCATTTTTTTTATTCGCCGTGAACCAAGGGGGTGGAGCTTAACTGCAAAATATTTGTTTCCTTACAAGAAATTAAAAACATGTTTTTGAGTATCGTGTTGTTCAAAGAATACTATAAATATTAAGCAAAAAACGCAAAATATAAACCCCGCCCACCCACCCCACCGCAATTGTGATGATTTTTTTTTATTCTTAGAAATTGAAGACACGTTTAAAACGGTAAATTTTTGTAAGGAAATGGGGATTTTGCAATTAGGCTCCGCCCCTACATCTGTCAACGAATGAAAACCTCATTACTATTTAGATCAGGGCAGAAATGGGTGGGGTTTAATCTTAGGCTTAATTTTTTTCTTAATATACATAATATTCTTTAATTGATACGATACTAAAAAACCTCTCTTGCAAAGTAGTATAGTAATTTCCGGTAGAGAAATAATAACGATTTTGTAATTAAATTTCGCTCATTTGGCTCTCGACGATTAAAAAAAAATTATCACATTTGAGGTAGAGTGAGTGGGCGGGGCTTATATTTTACTTTCTTAATACATATGTATGTGTAGTCATCTTTTCGCAAGAATTAAAACATGTTTAAAATGGTTGTATAGGGAAATATAGATTTTACAATTAAGCTCCCCCTCTCGGCTTACGGCCAATAAAAAAAATCATCAGAATTGAGACAGGGCGGGTGGGCGGGGTAAATATTTTGCCCCTTTTATCTTAATATACATAGTATTCCTTGAACAACACGATACTCAAAAACAGGTTCTTAATTTCTTGTAAAGAAATAAGTATTTTGCAGTTAAGCTCCACCCTCTTGGTTCACGGCGAATAAAAAAAATCATCAGACTTGAGATAGGGTGGGTGGGCGGGGCTTATATTTTCCCTTTTTTTCTCAATATACGTAGCCATCTTTTCACGACAAGAAACTTAGGACATGGTTAAAATGGTTCATTTTTGCAAGGAAATATGGAATTTGCAATTGTGGAGCGGAGCCTGTTTGCAAAATCCGTGTTCCTTAAACAAATTTTCTATTTTAAGCATGTTTTAAGTTTTATGTGGCGAAAAGAAGTCTACACATATTAAAACAAAAAGGCAAAATGAAAGCCCGCCCACCCGCCCTATCTCAATTGTGATGATTTTTTTTATTCGCCGTGAATCAAGAGGGCGGAGCTTAACTGCAAAATACTTGTTTCTTTACAAGAAATTAAAAACATGTTTTTGAGTATCGTGTTGTTCAAAGAATACTATGTACATTACGCAAAACAGGCAAAATATAAACCCCGCCCACCCATCCCATCTCAATTGTGATGAGTTTTTTGTTCTTATAAATCTAAGACGCGTTTAAAATGGTAATTTTTTGTAAGGAAATGGGGATTTTGCAATTAGGCTCCGCCCCTACACCTGTCAACGAATGAAAACCTCATTACTATTTAGATCAGGGCAGATATGGGTGGGGTTTAATCTTAGGCTAAATTTTTTTCTTAATATACACAAAATTCTTTAAATGATATACTAAAAAACCTGTCTTGCATAGAAATTTTTTGTAGAGAAATAATAAGGATTTTGCAATTAAATTTGGCTCATTTGGCTCTCGACGATTAAAAAAAAATCATCACAATTGAGGTAGGGTGGGTGGGCGGGGCTTATATTTTACTTTCTTAATATGTGTAGTTATCTTTTCGCAAGAAGAAACTTAAAACATGTTTAAAATGGTAAATTTGTATAGGGAAATATAGATTTTACAATTAAGCTCCGCCTCTCGGCTTACGACCAATAAAAAAATCATCAGAATTGAGACCGGGTGGGTGGGCGGGGTAAATATTTTGCCCCTTTTTCTTAATATACATAGTATTCTTTGAACAACACGATATTGTAAAGAAATAAGTATTTTGCAGTTAAGCTCCACCCTCTTAGTTCACGGCGAATACAAAAAATCATCAGACTTGAGATAGGGTGGGTGGGCGGGGCTTATATTTACCCTTTTTTTTCTCAATATACGTAGCCATCTTGTCACGACAAGAAACTTAGGACATGGTTAAAATGGTACATGTTTGCAAGGAAATATGTATTTTGCAATTATGGACCGCAGCCTGATTGCAAAATCCCTGTTTCCTTAAACAAATTTTCTATTTTAAGCATGTTTTAAGTTTCATGCGAAAAGAAGTCTACAAATATTAAAATAAAAAAGCAAAATGTTGTGTGAAACAAAGGCAAAATATTTTAACCCCGCCCACCCACCCTGTCTCAAGTCTGATGATTTTTTTTATTCGCCATTAACCAAGAGGGCGGAGCTTAACTGCAAAATACTTATTTCTTTAGAAGAAATCAAAAACATGTTTTTGAGTATCGTGTTGTTCAAAGAATATTATGTATATTGAGAAACAAAGGCACAATATTAACCCCGCCCACCCACCCTATCGCAAGTAGATTTTGCAATTAGGCTCCGCCCCTTAGTCTGCCAATTCATGAAAATTTCATTACTATTCAGATCAGGGCAGGTATGGGTGGGGCTTAATCTTTGGCTTTAGTTTTTTTTAATATAAATTCTAATTCTTTGAATAACACGATACTGAAAAACACGTCTTCCATGGTAATTTCTTGTAGAGAAATAATAAGGATTTTGCAATTAAATTTCGCTCCTTTGACTCTCGATGATTAAAAAAAATCATCACAATTGAGACAGGGTGGGTGGGTGGGGCTTATATTTTGCCTTTTTTCTTAATATACATAGTTGTCTTTTTAGAACAAGAAACTTAAAACATGTTTAAAATGGTAAATTCTTGTAGACAAATATGGATCTTGCAATTAAACCCCGCCCCTCGATCTGTCAACAAATGAAAAATGCATCACAATTGAGAATTGAAATCGGGGTGGATATGAGTGGGGCGTAATCTTTGGCTTTATTTTTTCTTAATATAAATAAGTATTCTTTTAACACACGATACTCAAAAACATATTTTTAATTTCTCGTAGAGAAATAAGGATTTTGCAGTTAACCTCCGCCTTCTTGACTCACCATGAATAAAAAAATCATCAGAATTGCGATAGGGTGGGTGGGGGGGGCTACATGTTACCTTTTTTTTCTAAACATGTGTAGACTTATTTCGACAACAAAAAACTTAAAACATGTCTAAAATGGTAAATTTTTGTAGTAATCAACTTAAACTTTTCTTCTACAACCCCTTTAAATACGGCAAAAGTTCCTATATTAAAGTTTCCAAATGCAATTTTGGAAATTTTTGGAACTTTGGGTATTGTTTTTCCCAGAAACATTAAAAACGGAAGTTTCTTCGTAAGGACCAAGGTTTGAAGTAGATCCAAATGTGAAAAGAACAACGAAAAAACTAAATGTTCGTGTTTTGCTGGTTGCATACTTTACAACGACTAAGCATACAATATTTACTTACTGAGAGAAACCAAGGACTGTTTATAGAATCAATCACAACCGTCAGCAAAGGTATTACCTGCAACAAGAAGAAAACTCACTTAGAAAACATAATTTACCACACAATATTCTAACTTATTTATTAATTGATATCCCGAACTATTAGCGCACTCTTACTACAGCGCAGTATTGGTGGTTGCCTACATCAACATAATCACAATCTTCATGCAGTTCACGTTCGATTTTTTTTCTTGTTTTGTTTTAATATCATTCTGTTCTATTATACCCCAGCTATAACCTGTCATCACCCCACCCCCCCGCGGCGCGTAATCCCACAATAAATCTCCACACACAAATAAAGCAGCATTCAAGTCCGCTGAATGTCCCATTGTGGCCGCATAATGAACGCAGGTAAAGTGCGTGCAACCCAACATAATACCATCGTTCTTAAGCAAACGCGCTAACCATTTCAAATCATAACAACACGAGACTGTCTGGGTCACTTAAACCAGTCTTTTTTGCAATAAACCAATAACAACAAAATATTTCAACAGGTTGCGGAATGTGGATTTGCATAAAATTAAGCGTAAAATCCGCGCGTATTCGCTCAAATATCACGTTTTAGACATAGGTGCACCCGTAATGGAACATTTTCTCGCGGGTGCAGTGTTGGTTGCCTACGTGCAAATTTGCATAAGTAGGAATGTTATCGATAACACAATGGGAGTACCACGAATTGTTGTTTGAAGTACGTGTACAAAGACATTGTGGATTGCGCTAATTAAGGCACGCCTTTATTTGTTCACTTTTTTTACGTAAACATTGATTGACAAGGTCGAAGGATGGTTTGTGAATTGGTTTTATATTTAGAAGGATCGATAGCGGTTATGTAAAGAGGTCGATCGGGTAAAGTTATCAACTGACAGCAGTGTACTCATAATTCATTCATTATTAAAAATATGGGTATTAGAATGGGGACGGGTTTTCATTAATGGGTTCAAAAGGATTTTCGTGGGTGGCGATTGGAGTGATTTTTATTAAAGGAGACATTTACGTTTCGGGAGGAATGCACTCGTCTGATGTAACATCCAGAGTTTAATAATATGGACGATTTTTCTTAATCTCGTGATTCGTCATCATTCCAGTTCTGCAGGAAGTGACTAATAAATAAGACAACTTCATTTTTCACTAATTGCTAAATGAATTGGCGAAAATCCAACACTCGGGTTTTTTTTTGGAAAAATATAAAAAGAAACGAAAAAAATGGACGTGGGAAAATGATTGAAACAATTCGAAAGCTCGAGCTCCGCTCTCTCTCTTCTTGCATGTTTTATTGCAGACACAAAGAAAGCACAGTCAGCTCCATAAAATTCCGGGCAAGAACAGGAGATACGCAGGTAGGTACTAAAAGGAAGCAGGTGCATCATAACCATGAGAAGTCCAGGCAACCGTTACGCTGACTGCTCAAATCGTACCACCCTTAGTTTACAACCAACCTGTCGTAGTAAGTAGCACCGACTTTCAAGACTAATAGGATTACCATAAAACTATTAACTTGTGTCATTTTCTTTTATTTATGAATAAACATTTGCAGCGGCTTGAAACTCGGTCCAGATCAGGTATAAACTAACACTCTTTGACAAAACGACGCAATTTTTCGGATGAAAAGCAGCCCCTTGGCGTTGACACGGCAAAAACCATCAGGTCAAGTGAATGGTCAGAACCCGACACCCACATGCCGAAATTCCAAGTAAACGGCATTGTATAACTTTGCAGATCAAGTTTCAGAGCCGTGGGACGCCAACTCGAGCACAGCATGGCAAAGTTCACGGTCAGACACATTTGTCAAAGCGTCGAAAAGTGAAACGTTTTCCTGGGGTTGCGACGTTTTGCTGGTGGTCGAGAACCACTCGATGGCGACATCCGGTCGGAGGAGGAGGAGACGAAGACACTAATGAACGGAGAATGACGAATGGGACGAAAATTGGTGCAAAAACTCGGTTCCGAGAAGGATTTCGGAGTGTCGTGCCGGGATACATTATCTCGGAAATTCAAGACGAGGAGATCAGAGAACATAGAGAAGCGTCATAGTTTAAATTAAATGACGGTTGAGGACTCCTCGACGTATGTTGGCAAGAGTGTTTGTTTCTAACTAGGAATAAAATTAACTAGAAAAAATGTCAATACGCGTTTTACTTTTGACAAATTGACACTAGATTTTCGTCGTCTGAGAACTTGTTTGATCTACAGACCAGAGGGCACTCAGGCCAATGTCGACTCTAAGCGTTCGGAAACGATTTGATTTATAACCCATGATCCGTGATTTGATACACACCCTAACCGGTTTCGACCATAATTTCTGCTGTTTCAACTTTCGAATTCTCAGTTTTTCGAAATTTTGGTTTGGGGACTTTTCAGTTTACTCCTATTTATTTTTAAATTTTACAATTTCTCAATTTTTCAATTTCTCGGTTTTCGGTTCAATTTTACGATTTTTAAATATTTCGATTTTTCAATTTTTGACTTTTATAAACTCTTTATTTGGCGATTTTTCAGGTTTTTTGGTTTTTTAATTTTTCTATTTTTTCAGGTTTCGATTTTTCAACTTCACTTTTTTGATTTTTCGATTTCTCAATTTTTCAATTTTTGGACATTTCAGTTTTGGGATTTTTCAGTTTACTTATTATTCAATTTTTCGATCTTACGATTATGCAGGTTTTTGATTTTTCAATTTTGCGATTTTTTTTAAGGTTTCGTTATTTCGACTTCACTTTTTTGATTTTTCGATTTCTCAATTTTTCCATTCTTTAGATTCTCAGTTTTTGGATATTTCAGTTTTGGGATTTTTCAGTTTTTCGATTCGTCAATTTTTCTTTCATTTTTCAGTTTTTCGATATTTCAGTTTTGGAATTTTTCAATATTTCTGTTCTTCGACTTTTCCATTTTTGACTTCTGGATTTTTCGATGCGTCTACCTTTTTACTATTTCGATTTTTAAATTTTAGATTTTTCAGTTTTTTGATATTTTAATTTTTTTATATTTGAAATTTTAGATTTTTCGATTTCTCGATTTTTCATTTCAGTTTTCGAATTTTTCAAATGTTTTGATTTCTTAATCAATCGATTTTTCGACTTCCCTGTTTTAGATTTTCTGTTTTTCAATTGTCGTTTTTTCAAATTTTCGATTTTTCAATTTTTCAAATTTGACATTTATAAACTGTCAATTTTTCGATTTTTCAATTAATCGATGTTTTGATTTTCCCATTTCTTGACCTTCGAGTGTTTCGATTTTTCAGGTTTTTGATTTTTTACTTTTTAATTTTTTTAAGGTTTCGATTTCTTCATCTTTCGATTTTTCGACTTCGCGGTTTTAGATTTTCTGTTTTTCAATTGTTGTTTTTTCAATTTTTCGATTTTTAAATTTTAGATTTTTTAGTTTTTTGAAATTTTAATTTTTCAATATTTAAAATTTTAGATTTTTCGATTTCTCGATTTTCCATTTCAGTTTTTCGATGTTTCAGTTTTTCTTTCATTTTTCAGTTTTGGGATTTTTCAATGTTTTGATTTTTCGACTTTGCGATTTTTGGCTTCTAAAGTTTTCGATGTGTCGATTTTTTTACTTTTTCGATTTTTCAATTTTTTCATTGCTTAATCTTTCGATTTTTCGACTTCCCGGTTTTAGATTCTCTGTTTTCAATTGTCGTTTTAAATTTTTCGATTTTTCAATGTTTTGATTTCCCGATCTAGTTTCCCATTTGTAGTTTTTCTTTCATTTTTCAGTTTTGGGATTTTTCAATATTTCGATTCTTCGACTTTTCCATTTTTGACTCCTGGATTTTTCGATGTGTCGACTTTTTACTTTTTCGATTTTTAATTTTAGATTTCTCAATTTTTTGGTATTTTAATTTTTCAATATTTAAAATTTTATATTTTTCGCGTTCTGGATTGTTCATTTCAGCCCTTCCATATTTCAATTATTCAAACGTTTCGATTTCTTCATCTTTCGATTTTTCGACTTCGCGGTTTTAGATTTTCTGTTTTTCAATTGTTGTTTTTTCAATTTTTCGATTTTTAAATTTTAGATTTTTTAGTTTTTTGAAATTTTAATTTTTCAATATTTAAAATTTTACATTTTTCGATTTCTCGATTTTCCATTTCAGTTCTTCGATGTTTCAGTTTTTCAAGTTATCGAATTTTTCAAATGTTTTGATTTCTTAAGAATCAATCGATTTTTCGACTTCCCGGTTTTAGATTTTCTGTTTTCAATTGTCGTTTTAAATTTTTCGATTTTTCAATGTTTTGATTTCCCGATCTAGTTTCCCATTTGTAGTTTTTCTTTCATTTTTCAGTTTTGGGATTTTTCAATATTTCGATTCTTCGACTTTTCCATTTTTGACTCCTGGATTTTTCGATGTGTCGACTTTTTACTTTTTCGATTTTTAATTTTAGATTTCTCAATTTTTTGGTATTTTAATTTTTCAATATTTAAAATTTTATATTTTTCGATTTCTGGATTTTTCATTTCAGCCCTTCCATATTTCAATTATTCAAATGTTTCGATTTCTTCATCTTTCGATTTTTCGACTTCGCGGTTTTAGATTTTCTGTTTTTCAATTGTCGTTTCTTCAATTTTTCGATTTTTAAATTTTAGATTTTTCCGTTTTTTGAAATTTTAATTTTTCAATATTTAAAATTTTAGATTTTTCGATTTCTCGATTTTCCATTTCAGTTCTTCGATGTTTCAGTTTTTCAAGTTATCGAATTTTTCAAATGGTTTGATTTCTTAATCAATCGATTTTTCGACTTCCCGGTTAAGATTTTCTGTTTTCAATTGTCGTTTTAAATTTTTCGATTTTTTAATGTTTTGATTTCCCGATTTGGTTTCCCATTTTTAGTTTTTCTTTCATTTTTCAGTTTTGGGATTTTTCAATATTTCGATTTTTCGATTTTTCCATTTTTGACTCCTGGATTTTTCGATGTGTCGATTTTTAAATTTTAGATTTTTTAATTTTTAAAATTTTAGATTTTTCGATTTCTCGATTCTTCATTTCAGTTTCATTTCTATTTCAATTTTTCAAGTTTTCGAATTTTTCAAATGTTTTGATTTCTTAATCAATCGATTTTTCGGCTTCCCGGTTTTAGATTTTCTGTTTTCAATTGTCGTTTTAAATTTTTCGATTTTTCAATGTTTTGATTTCCCGATTTAGTTTCCCATTTTTAGTTTTTCTTTCATTTTTCAGTTTTGGCATTTTTCCATATTTCGATTCTTCGACTTTTCCATTTTTGACTCCTGGATTTTTCGATGTGTCGACTTTTTACTTTTTCGATTTTTAATTTTAGATTTCTCAATTTTTTGGTATTTTAATTTTTCAATATTTAAAATTTTATATTTTTCGATTTCTGGATTTTTCATTTCAGCCCTTCCATATTTCAATTATTCAAATGTTTCGATTTCTTCATCTTTCGATTTTTCGACTTCGCGGTTTTAGATTTTGTTTTTCAATTGTCGTTTTTTCAATTTTTCGATTTTTAAATTTTAGATTTTTCCGTTTTTTGAAATTTTAATTTTTCAATATTTAAAATTTTAGATTTTTCGATTTCTCGATTTTCCATTTCAGTTCTTCGATGTTTCAGTTTTTCAAGTTATCGAATTTTTCAAATGTTTTGATTTCTTAAGAATCAATCGATTTTTCGACTTCCCGGTTTTAGATTTTCTGTTTTCAATTGTCGTTTTAAATTTTTCGATTTTTCAATGTTATGATTTCCC